AGTCGCCAAAGATTGAGAAAAGATGTTCAGGTTCGTAAGTGCTTGCGTAACTTCTTCGTGAATCTGGCCCCTAATCTGTGCAGGCCAGCCTAGACCTAATGTGCGCTATCTTATGCCTAATATGGGACATATATGACCTATAGTCAGTCCGTCCTGCTAAGGTTTCCCAACATCAAGAAACTGTCGTACTAAAGTGGCCTTATCCTAACCTACCAGAGGACCTAAAACAGAAAACGGGACAGTACATCAATTTCGCGAACCGCTTCCATTTTCTGGCACGACGATTTTTGGCCTTAGGTAACTTATACGTCAAAATGCGACGTGCTATCGGGAGGACGGGTTACAGAACACAATAGTAATGTGTTGATTAGCATTGTATAAATGAATGGCAACGTCTGTACTAACCTAGTTGTGCTTGCGGAGGTTGAGCTCTGGCTCTTTGGTCCCGCCTCTCAACTGTCAGTCAACTGGTGCACAGATTCCTGAACCTATTGGGCTGTGTTTGGAGTCAGCCTCCAACACATAGCTGCTAGGCTCTTGTTTGTCTAGTCCTCAGCTCGGACACAGCTGCCAACTGTGGTTCATCCAGCCCCCAGCTCGGACACAGCTGCCAACTGTGGTTCATCCAGCCCCCAGCTCGGACACAGCTGCCAACTGTGGTTCATCCAGCCCCCAGCTCGGACACAGCTGCCAACTGTGGTTCATCCAGCCCCCAGCTCGGACACAGCTGCCAACTGTGGTTCATCCAGCCCCCAGCTCGGACACAGCTGCCAACTGTGGTTCATCCAGCCCCCAGCTCGGACACAGCTGCCAACTGTGGTTCATCCAGCCCCCAGCTCGGACACAGCTGCCAACTGTGGTTCATCCAGCCCCCAGCTCGGACACAGCTGCCAACTGTGGTTCATCCAGCCCCCAGCTCGGACACAGCTTCTGCTAGGTCGTAGTGTGTTGCGCCGCTATAGGAACCCAATGATCATGAGAAACACAATAAACAGAAAAACATCGTTGCCCGTATGCATTGAGGTAAGAGGCTATTAATATATTAATTTTGTTGATGAGCTATTAAGACTAAAGCTGAATTTGCATGAGTTATTTTGACTGTTTTTATATATGATAAGCGCTTTCGTGCTATATATTGTGACTTCTTCCTGTGGATTAAAAGTAGTGGGGCGTCCCTCAAATTGCACAAGTTGCTTTGAGCAGCCTGAGGGCAGCAGTATTCCGGGAACATCAACTAGATTTCGGAGACTTAGGCAAAGTGAAGTTTACACTAGTTACTCCATCTATCATCATTCTATTATGCAAGAAGTGCTGCACGTCTATGGGTCATCCAATAAGGTTAGCAAGTTCAAGTATGTTTATTGAGACACGAAAGAAATACATCTCAAAGGGATAGAGGAGCTTAGGCTATTTCTAACCCCAATAAGGTTAGCAGACTTCTAGATGTTACCACTACTAGGTTTAGGCTCGGCTACAAGTACCTCTGGGAATTTGTAACATCTGCTGATGTAGATTTGACTAAATGTAAACTCTGTCAGCAGTACTATTCGCATACTTTGCGTCATTATATACTGGAATGTGAAAAAAATCGCAGAATTTAGAGATAACACCATCAATAGTGTCCAACAAATGTGTAAGTACTTCATTCATAATGATGTGCTGGCCGAAATCTTAGCGAAGTATCCAAAATTTGCTTACTGTAGGTAATGCATGCACATGACTGTAAAGCTGCCGCCCAGTTGGGTGGGTGTGCAGCACATGATTGTAAACCTGCCGTCCAGTTGGGTGGATGTGGGGCACATGACTGTAAAGCTGCCGCCCAGTTGGGTGGGTGTGGAGCACATGACTGTAAAGCTGCCGCCCAGTTGGGTGGGTGTGGAGCAAGACTAGTAACTGTGTGACTCACCATAGATGTAAAGTGCCTTGTATAGTGACTGTTGTGAGCCTCTTGTTGAATCACTTGTGACACAAAAGATTATTGATGTGTGTATTTGTGTGGGTGACTAAATATGTATGTGTATGTGTATATATATATATATATATATATATATATATATATATATATATATATATATATATATATATATATATATATATATATATATATATATATATATATATATATATATATATATATATATATATATACGTATATATATGTACATGTATGTATGAGTACGTGTGCATGTATATATAACATTAATAATTTTGAGATTAGCGTCAAAAGATTGTTATTTGCTTAGCTAAACGAACTAGAGGGTTCAGTTCCTGAACCGATTATGTACCTCTGTAACCCTTTACACCACCGCCCACGGGATGGGTATGGGGTGCATAATAAAGAAAGAAATGATTGCAGGGATGGTTCGCGGGTTTACTTCCTATTTGGGAGTGTTGTACATGCTGCTATGGCGGTATGTCCACTCACAAAATGAGTGGCGCTGCCCAATAAACTCGCCCCTCGGGGCAAAATTTAAAAAAAAAAATTGCAGGGATGGTTGTGAACAATGCCTCTGAGAGGTACCATAGATTGCAAAGTCTCCATGTGAGCGGAACATGTAACTGGTGGTGTAGCCTGGCCGCCACTGCATGCTGTCAACAGAGGGGGGCTCAATTGGCCTACCAGGTCGATAATATCAGTACTGCTCCTTCCTCCCACCCTGGCCGCCGGCCGTGTCCCCCCCGCGCTAGGCCTGTCTCTCATGTACGGGCTGACATGGGCATTTATACCATTATTATACAAATTTGGGGGAAACCTATGACATGCCGCTGCCTTCTTGTCCCCCCGTCCAGGCCACGATGGTGGCCCCTCAGGTAAATTCAGGTAAAATATACCGACGAATGCAAAGATGGTCTCAGTTGGAAGAGCTAGGTTGAATACTGTTATCATGGCGGCAGCTTCCTCATTAGATTGTGTTGCCATTATCGCCGCCCAGCCATTTATTCTTATTCAAATATTTCCCTCCGTGTCATTCAAACCGCTTAATTTATTCGATATTTTAGATTGATGCATTTCTGGTGTGGGTTTAGTGGTATGTGGCAGAGCCCTAGAAGCGACTTGACCTCCGTGGCCATATATACTTGTTCGTGGCTTGAGGGTCTGTGGTGGGGGGGAGAGAGAGAGAGGGAGAGAGGGGTGGCGTGGTGGGGGTATGGCGTGGTGAGGGGGAGGGAGGGAGGGAGGGAGAGAGAGAGAGGGAGAGGAAGGGGGAGGGAGGTGATGGTAGTGGTGACGGCTGTACTCGCAGTGAAAACTGCTGACTCCACTCCCACCCCCTTGTCATCATTGTGTAAGTACCTGCACCTCTCTCTCTCTCCCTCCCTCCCCTTGATTGACGCCGCCATGAGCACCAATACACCACAAAACCCCCCACACCACCAACTTAGAGCCATAGAGCGGGGTAGTCATGGGGCAGGACAAAATGGGGGGAAAGAGGAGGAGGAGTAAGAGATTTGTGTATAATGTTCATAAATGTATCAGGGCAGTACGGTGTCGGGGTGGCCATGGGTGGCGGTGAAGGAGCCCCCGCGCGCTCCCACGCTCTCCGCTTCACGCCACCCCCTCACACATTTATATACATACACGCCCGCTACCTATCTGTGTGTCTATACATTCACACACACACTGCTACACATTATGTATACACCGCTTCACGTGACAGCTATATGTGTGTGTATGTATATATATTGATATGCACATAGGCACTCATATATTACATTTATATATATCTATTTTTAATCACGTTTATTTTTCGTGATTTACACACACATCTATATATCTATCTATCTCTCTATATATATTATATATATAATATATATTATATATATATTATATATATATATATATATATATATATATATATATATATATATATATATATATATATATATATATATATACACATGCACACACACATATATACAGACAGAGAGTGACAGGCAAGCACACACACACACACCGGCACACCGCAACAAACGCACATATGTACACCTCCACATATGTACACTTCCACTATCGCCCGCTCCCTCTCGTACCTACCTACAGGATTTCTCAACACTGCATTTGTTCTCCCCATTGGCACTATTCTACATATATACATATACATATAGATTTATATATATATAGGGACATATTTTGTTATTTTACCCCAACCTGCATTTCAACGAGCGATGGCTCTCAAGGGGGGGGGGGGAGTTGTATTATTTATACACTGCATTAGGGCCTTGATGTATGGTGATTGATGATTGATATGTACTCCAGTACATGGCCACGATAGACCAGCTATAGTGTTGTGCTACCGTGAGCGATAGATAGCTAGATGGGGTTTGAGTGGGGTCAACCACCACCTTGGGCCCACCACAGGGGAACAAGAGGATATTGAACTTTCATTCATTTATAATACGAGACTCTGGACAATTATTAATTGGGTAGTTTAGCCACATGTGACGCCCCTACAAGATATCACATGCTGAGAAAATAGGGTATTAACACCCGGGCAAAGTGACAAGGTAAAGGCAGACATAGGATTACAATAGTGATGAATTAATCGGGTAGTTTACCTATATGTGACGAACCTACCCCACATAAAAAAACGATAATAATAATAATATACGATAAATAAACACGGAGGAGAAAGCAACAAGCAGAGAAAGGTAGGTAGGGGGTAATGGTAAGGGGGGGAGGGAAAGAGAAAAGAAAAAAAGGGGTAAAAATAGGAGCAAACCCCCAAAAAATGGGAATGGCAAAATAGTAGATGGGGGGTGTGTTGGGAGGGGGGGGATATGTAATAGGTGTGAATAATAGTAGTAGTAGTAGGGGTGGAGGGTGTGCGCGGGAGTCCGTGCGTCCAGCGGAGCGGCCCCGTAGCCATTAAGCGGAGACAAGGCGCCATGTTGGTCGTGGGTGCGCTCGGGATTATCTCCTAATTTTTGCCACATGTACGCTGCTCGGCCGGCGTGAGGTGTTACCCCTGGTGCATTTTGTGCAGTGGAAGGTGCTGTGGAGGCGGTGGTGGGGGCCCCTGCAGGCTGCGAGGGCCCCTGCAGCCTGCACAAGCCGCCCTGCCCCCCCTCCCGCAAACACACGCACACGCACACGCACACGGCAAAAGGGAACACTTTACGTTTGTTTGTTGTGAAATAGAATCGATATGGTTGTTGGCACGAAATTCAGTCCTTGAGCGATTGACCCCCACAGTGTGTGAGGGCGGCGAGGGAACCCCGCCGTGTGGGGTGTCTAAGGAGAGCCCGCGAGCCCCACAGTGCGCTGGTGGGGTGCTCGAGAGCAGGAAATAAGCCGCGAGAGGAGGACAGCCCCCGCGAGGAGCCGCGGCCGCGACGGCTGCCTCCGCCGCCGCGACAAAGGCTCCCTGACGGCTCTCTCTCTCGCTCAGCTGTGATGGATCTGCCTCACATGGACCACACTTTTCCCTCGCTGTGTGTGTAGTGTGTCGTGTGTAGTGTGTGCGGTTATCCCGCGGGAGGCGGTGAAGAAGTGTGTGATATATATATATGTATATATTGTGTCCTGTCCCCCGCGAGTTTGTCCAAAAAGTGACGCGGAAGCGAAATAAGTGCGATCACGGAGCGCGACTTTCCGCCATTACCGGGTCTTGTCATGATACTGTTTAATGACTGTGTAGTGTGTGTGTATATATATACTTCGGAAGCTCGATATGTATACATAAAATACATAGAAAGAAATGTATTAGAGCGGCCGGAGGCGTATAGGAGTGTGTGTGTATACCCCCGGCCGGCGAGTTTACCGGAAACCAGTGGAAGAAATGGTGGTAGTGAGGGAGAGGAGGAGTCTCAGTTTGTCTTGAAAAGTGATTTTGGGTGACGCTTGCAGGAGGGTCGTGGGGGGTGGTGGGGGGGGAGGGTGGGGGTTGTGGGGTGATGGGGGGGGGGTGCAAGAGTGTTGCTCACGGGCAGGTCGCTATATTTCCGCTTCCTCTTTTTCCATATTACGTAATGATTTACCGATCTATGGGTTATACTTTTTTGAAGAGGGGGGAGGTATGGGGGGTTTGGTTGAAGGGGGGGTGTATGTATGGGGGTCAGGGGGGTGTTTTTGGTAAAGGGGGGGAAAAAAGCGTGGTAGCCAGGAATAGGTAATAGGTGTGTGTGTGTGAGTGGTAAAGGATGGAGAGGAGAGAGGGGGGGAGAGTGAGGGGGTGAGGGGGAGAGTGTGAGGGGTGAGGGGGAGATGCTCTGGTCAGTCAACCTCGCGCGGGCCTACATGCCGGGGAAGACGCTCGGGCATTTTACTCTTCCACAGCTTTGTCACCCCCTGTGTGTCTCGCCCCCCCCCACTCACCACCCCCCACACACGCCCACTGTAAGCCCCCCCCCTTCTCCCCACACACACACGCCCTGGCGTGTTGTACCTACATCAGTGTTGTGCTTCACCTGGGAAGGCGTGAAGCAACCCCGAGAGAGAGATATATATATATAGTGCCAGTTTCCCTCGCCACAGCTTTGATCTATCCCCCCCCCCCTTCCACCACACCGTAAGGAAACGTGAAAATGGGGATTTATACCGTGCTATAAGGACCAGGATATGGTGTTGAGTGTTGTAGAGGTGTTACTGGAAACGCAACTCAAGTCGTGGAAAAGAAATTGGAGCACAGTTTGTTGCCGTGTACATATATATATTTTTTTTTGTTAAGCTAAGAGCGTGGAGAAAGTTTGCCTTGTGTGAACTAGGGAATTGCTGGTGTGTGTGTGTGTGTGCGGGTCATGGCTTTGTACTGGGATTTTGTTGGGCTGTGAAGCTCTTGTACGGTGGTTTATAACTATTTTTTGAGGCATTATGAAAGTTTTGAAATGTTAAGTGTAGGGGAAGCGTGTGCCTGTGGTTCTACATTGTTCTTCAGTGTGATTTATGGATTTTGTCACGGTGTGTGTTGGTTCATGCACAAATGTGCTTTGTGGACGTTTATTTTCGTAGTATGCACTGGAGGGATCATTTTATGTTAGTCTAGTCAGTTTTTAATCATAGACTTAACCGTTGGAGTGTGAAATATGGTATTTTGGTGCCAAATTGTAGAGCGCCAGGTTTGCTGTAAGCCAAGCTTGCTGGTGTTGATTTTAATAGGTATTTTGTGTGTAGTGGTCTGATTTTGCACATACATGTGTTGGCTGATCAAATCATTAGTCTACTCATTGAATTGTATAGTTAGTGAAGTAAGACTGGGTGTTATAAAACCTCAGCTGCCAAACTGGTGAACAAGTATGGTGGGGAAAACATTGACTTATCGTTGCAAACTTGGTTGGTTTTTACAGATGTGGTTGGCCTCATGTTTATTTTTAGTAAATGCTGTTTTTGCCAGACTTTAACATACTGTATATCCATTTTTCTGTATTGTTTTAAAACCCTAAAATTTCATAAGGAAATTTTATATTATTTTGCACATGGTTGATTCGAAGGTCTTAGGATTGTCGTAAGAAAATCCTCACATGGTTGGTGTTTTTAATTTGTCAAGTTATGCATATGCATGGAGAGATTTGGTGTAGCTTAAAAGGCTGTTAGTGCATCTTTGGCTTTTAAATTGATGGCCTCTCCCGGTAGAAATAATAATTTTCCAATAATTTTAAGTCTTGTGCAGGTAGTTTGTGGTCTTGTATCATTTTTAAATAAAATTTGGAAGCAGTACTGTTTATTATGTATATAGAAATGTTAAATGGAGAATAGCCAGGTTATATTTATTTAAACAAAATTTGACTTTGTAGAATTTAAATGAATTGAGTAATCTTGGCAGGAATTGCAGAATTAGCCAAAGTGAATTTCTTAATTGTATTAATTAGGCAGTTTGGATAATGCTCTCCTTTAATAAACCATTCTTCAATGCATTAGCAGCAAACTTTGTTGGTTTACAAATGCTTGCTTAATAATGGAATTGTTTAGGTAGTGGCATGACTGGTTGGGTTCTTGGTGGCCACTTGAATAGCACACTATTTCATTTTCTTCTGGAGATGACCACTTCCAAGGATTTTTTAAGTAAATTTAGCTTTTTAACTTTCACTAAATGCTGTACAGTATTTGCAGAAGCAAATTTTGTCCACTGTAGGCCCTTTTTTATTTTCATTCAGTCCAGGAAGTCCCTTGAACAAGCTTATGCTTTTTTCCAAACTGGCTCTTTTGTACTATATAATCTATATTCAAATCTGAGTACTGCATTTTTCTCTTAGTAACATGGATAAAAAGGTCCCAAAAGAAAATGGTTGTTTATTACTGCAGATGGAAAAAAAGTACTGTACTGGGAAGTTTTATTGGCTAGCTGACTGGATCAATACTCCTCTCGCTGTGAGCGAGGACAATTGCTCCTGGGGTTTGTCTGGTGTGCGGTGCGTGTTGTGTTCACATTGACTGTCTTGAGCTCAAATATTCAGATTGAAAACTTATTAATTTATTTTAAATTAAAAATTCTTTAATTTATTTAATTACAAACTTTTTTTGTTTGTTTGCTTCCATATCTACACTGTAGGCTATTTTTTTATTAAAATTTCTTTGATACTATATATTTTCCTGCTTTGCAATAATACAGTATTGTATAACTTGTATAATTTTTTAAACTAGCCTACTGAAGACTAATAATTAAAAAAGAGCATTATAATAGGCCTATCTTGTTTTAACTACAATACTAGTTTTAAAATGCAAAACTTGTGGGTCTGTGATGCCAGTGTATGTCAGTGGAAGTTGAATTTTTGCATTGACCACTGAACCTGTCAAAAGTGTGGCTTGTTGTCAAATTTAGGCCAGTTTAACTTGAAATTGGTTTTGGATGATGTACACAATTTACAAATTTGCACATACCACATGTTTTGCTACTGTTATATTTAGCCAAGTAAAATGAACGCAGAATTCACTAGCTGTGCATTCTCTTTATCCAGGATAATTATTACATACATTTGCTTGTACTCTGCAGAGATGCAGTTTTCAAAATGTGCTGTAATTTACGTTATTTTGGCAGCATTCCTTTACCTCATTTTTACATCCCAGTTCCTTGTCCTCATATCACTCTTTAAGTTTCTTCTTTTAAGACTCTTCAACAGTCTCCGTGGTGTAGTGGTAAGACACTCGCCTGGCGTTCCGCGAGCGCTATGTCATGGGTTCGTATCCTGGCCGGGGAGGATTTACTGGGCGCAAATGCTTAACTGTAGCCTCTGTTTAATGCAACAGTAAAATGTGTACTTGGATGAAAAAACGATTCTTCGCGGCAGGGGATCGTATTCCAGGGACCATAGGATTAAGGACTTGCCCGAAACGCTACACGTACTAGTGGCTGTACAAGAATGTAACAACTCTTGTATATATCTCAAAAAAAAAGAAAAGTGCTATGGCCACACTAGCTTAGTTTGCTCTCCTGATAATTATCTTGCCTTGGCAGCTCATTAAGACAAATTTAGTTCTCGGCTGTGTATCTTCTAAACTAGCCCAGCAGTGTGTGTGTGTGTGTCATGAATTGGTACACGTTTGCCAAGTAATTTTTAGAATTTCAGGGTGGTCTGCTTGCATTATTATCACTTAGACTAAAAAGTTGAGATGATTAGTCTAATCTTACTTTGCCATACAATTTAACTTGGTTGAGTGTGTTCCTTATTATGCTCACCGAATTGATACTAGTGTACTGTAGTTATTTTATAATTTACTTTCAATGAGTGAAGCAAATGCAAAATTTCTTAAGAGCCAGTGCCCTTCAATGCTCTTATTTTCCCCCATTGTAATCTTGGCAGTGTAATAAAAAAAAATATGGAAATTTAAATATGAAAGTTTTTGGAATTTGTTTCTGCAGCTGCATAAACCATGAGGCCTATAGCTCAAATTTCTACACTAATAAATTAAGACAAAAGCATACGTTTTCAAATACTGTAACTACACTTTGTTATTACAATTAAGAAAGTTTGGACAACTTATTTTATAATGAATATTTAAAAATCTTACAACCATTGCTGTGCAAGATTCAGTCTGCCAAAAGGTTTTTAAATTATTAAAACGCCTATTTTGTAAAGAATTTTTATTATACAAAATTCAGCTTTGTGTCAGGTTTCAGTGACTATGAAATTTAAGCAGTGAAGCCCATCATTCTGCAATTTTTTGCAGAATGTTTTATAAAGATTGTTCTTAATGTTATTAAGAATTTTTATGGCCTAGTTTTATTTAGTTTGTTCCTTGTTGGGCTGTGAGTCATGCTGGCATATTCCTTTGCATTGTTGCATCATAATATCGTCGGACATTAGTTGTTTCAGTTGCATATTTAGTGAATCTTTATTTTTATTTTACTGCAACTTGGCTGTCATTGTTGCTATTTGAATCTATCTTCATTAACAGTATTAAGCTGTAAGACTCTTAACACATTTGGTTTGCTATGAGTAATCATGTAAGGAGAGTTAATTTATTTACAGTATACCTTTGGTATTACCTTAGTTTACTTTGCTTGCCCTTGATTGTATAGGCCTGTCCTGTTGCCACCAATTTCAAGAGAACTTGTTAACTCGTCGATGGTCTTGGACTTGTTAATTAGTCATTGAGATGACTAATCTGTTCGTTTTTTTCTTGAAGCGTCATCCATGGGATACTACCTTCGTGTAGTTGTAGGGGGGATTTCGGTGCTCTGATAATCTAGGAGGCAGACTTGGCGTACTTGTGAGGTGTTTGTTCCGTCTTGTGAGGATAACTCCTGGGGTCCTAAAGGGCCACAGCTTCTGCCTATTCACTTCCAGTTTGAACCTTCTTGTTGAGTAGTTGAGCAGATTGCAAACCTTATATAAAGGTTAGATTTCTATAATTTTTTTTTTTTTTGTTTATTTATACTGTATACAAGAAAGTACACATGGTTATTATATAGTACATTTTTGCAAAGCCACCAACGTAATGTATTTTGGGCAATGGTGCAAATGGCATTTTTTACAGTACCGTAGGCTGCCTAGGAATTGTTTAGAATTATTTAAATCTGCCTAGGTATAGAATTCTGGTTCTTGATATTTGAATATTTCTAATCTTTAGACCTATATGCGTGATTTTAGTTTAAGCAATTTATTTCGTTGGTCGTGATCATCGTGCAATATACAGTACAGCATTTTAAGTATCGGAATAAACCTGTGTATTAAGCTGGTGAAATGAAAAAGGACTTGTTTCTTTTGAAAAGGTAGGAATATTTGAAATCATCGGTGTGCAATGAATTTGCAACTTAAAAGTACAGTACAGTACATTTGAAAATAAGTACTGTTTTAAGTAAGCCTACACCACCATCATGATACGACAAAATGTGCAAACTTGGTTGCATAAATTTGATTGGGCCACGAAGTGTTCTGATGAAGGCAGTGTGTTATCGAATTAAAATCAGTCTTGACCTTCCGCTGTACAATTATCTAGTATCATTGTTCTATACAGTTGACATACAATTGTACAAGTGAATTGTAAATATTGTGGGGAAAAAAGTGATTGGTTGTGATCAGTGATGAAAAGAACAAATTGAAATACAATACAGTATTTGATTTCTAGAAAAGTTTTTGGATTTTCACTAGTGATGAGAACTTATCTAGTGTGAGTGCCAGTACAAGTATTTTTGCCATGGATCTCAGTGTCAGGTAAGGGTTGCTGTAGAGTTTTTGCTTTTTTCATTTATATATATTGAATTGCATACAATTTTAAATGTTAAACAATTAATTGCAGGAACATTTTTTTTTTATTATTTGGTAAGGGTGCATTTCAAAATGCAGTTCAGTTTCAGTGTGTTTTTTCCTAATTTCAAAAAATGTTGAGTACAGGTAACGAAAAGCTGCGGATGAAAATCTTTGGCTTACTTCCAGCTTTGCATTTCTCCATTGTCAACAATTTTTTACCTGCGCACATATTTTCAAGTGTAGAGATCAAGTTAGAGGTCTCCTGCTTTTTATTTGAGCGATTAAATCACACATCCACATTTACAAATCGTAATGTTACTAGAGTATACATTTTCAGTTGATATTCTGCATGGTTTAATTGTGTTGCATGAGCAGAACAATTGCTAAACACAGTACTTTCTGTTTTTATGATTGTTAGATATAGGCAACCTGGCAGAATGATTGAGAATACATTTTTTCAATGTATCACTTGGTAGTGGTTATTAGTGTGTTTTTCGTCTATTTATAAACCTCGGTTATATTTTGTATGCCTTTACTGAACTGGTTGTGACAGGCATTAACAATATTTTTCAGCAAACATTTGTCAATATTAAGGCACTTCATTATAATTATAGTGATTATTAAATATTTCATTATTCAGTACTAGCGATGATAGTGTCATATTCTGTATATACAGTACGGTTTACTGTTCGATTTTAAAAATAATATTTTATACAGTATTGTATTATGTAAACACGTGTACACATCAAATATTACTTGTGGGGCAAACTGAAATTCAGTATTAGACTGTTGCTACTTGCATCCTATAATACAGCATTTATCACAGGTTTGCAGTTGTCACATGGCTAGGCATGGAGAGTGTAGGTTCATGTGATCTACTGAGCTGAAGTTGGTTTATTGAGATGGTAGCACTGGCATATCAAACTAGCAACACCCAACCAATCCTCTCTAACCTGGATAAAAACCGACTGGCTATGAACAAACTCGTATACTGTATATGGACAATGCTATACTGTACTCGGCGGTCAGTGAAGTCGACTCGCAAATGGTTTGATTAGATTCCCCATGCAGGATGAGGCTTTTGGACATGTTTTCTTGCACATGCCTATGTTCACCTGGTTGTAAATAGGTACAGTACCTGGGAATTAGAGGACTGTTGTAGGCCACTGCCAGGGGATGTCTCCAATCTTAACAGGCTTCCTCTCCATGATTATGGGGAACCAACCAAATAGAGGTGGGTAATATGTTCGTGAGATGTACGTTGGTCCTCTAAACCATACTGTATATGGGATTGACATAATGTGTCTGGTGTTTGTAACTTAATGTACTGTACTTCAATTTGAAAAATGTAATGTCTTGTCTCATGAACTTGGAAAAGAGTATAGAAGTTTGTTTATAGAGAGTGATTATCATGAGTTAGATCTAGACATCATATCCTAGATTGTTTGGTCTAGATCTGAATGGAAGCCTGTATAAGAGGCCCTGTATTTGACCCTTGAATAAATAGAAAGGATAGGATATAGAAAGATAGCACAAGAGTCTGTAGACTACATGGAGTAACAAGTCTCCATGCTCCTTAACTACTGTCACTCTTTGCTTAACACAACTTCAGTTGAGAGAAATCTAACATTTAATTAAGAAGTGCCTTGAAGAAAGTGACTAAACAATAAGATGGAAAGTACTAGTGATCATGTTAATGTACTTTTGTTAAATCTCAATGTGTCTGAAGCAGTAGCTACAATGCATTTTGACTTTCAAATGAATGATTAATTGCCTGGGGCTATGAAAAATGAAAATACATTTTATGCAGGGGGAAATGGGTATAGTGGTCTGTTCTTGGCCCACAACCAAGAGACAAGTTCATTTCCCAGGCAGGGGAGAAACTGTTGGGCATGTTTCTTTTTACCTGATGCCTCTGTTCACCTAGCAGTAAATAGGTACCCAGGAGTTGGAAAATTGTTGTGGGTTGCATCCTGGGGAAGGCAAGTGGTTGGCCTACAGAGACCTTGATAAGCCCAATTACAGGGTTATTTTCCCAGTCAACAGGAATTAAATTGGCTCATGATGCAGTTTGTTAGAAAACTGTTGCTATTTCACAAAATGGGCAGAATGTAGATGGTTAGTTAAAAGTGGCATGCCTCAGGGTTACGTTCTGGGACTTTGATATTCGTAATACTGTTCCGTGTACTTAATTTCTTGGTTTACACAGGATTTGTTATAAGTGAGAGAGAAACTGGAATACAGGAGGACTGTAATGAACTTCACATTAAGAGGTGGCACAGGTCTATGCAGCATATGGCACCACTGTATAGCCACATAATCAAAGTATTTAAGCCATGGAAGCCATTAGCATTAAGCAGTAGCTCAGCTGTGTTGATATTGGTCAATTTAATTATAATAGATATTTTTCCAAGCATAAATAATTGGGTATTAGTAGGATTAGTTGCAGCTAGAACATTAATTATCCTAGTACAGTCATCCCTCTCCCATCACTGTTCTGCTGTATTTTACGAATATATGGCTCAACACTGCTCCTCAGGGCTTTCATAATTACCAAAAAGTCAATTGTTTTTACAAGGTTCGTTGGTTTTCTTTAACATTGTATTTCTAATTGTATTTTATTGATTTTGCTAATTGTTGATTTTTATAATTGAATACAGTATTATCAATTTTCCTAATTGTATTTGGTCGAATTTGCTAATGGTACTTTATTGATTTTGCTACCATTCTCCCTTTTTTGTACAGTGCTCTGAAGGTTAGTTTTGAAAACTCATTGAGGCGCACTCATATTATTCAAATCTGCATCGGCTTTTAAATAAATAGCATGTTTCGTAATATGCTTTTGTCTGTGTGTCTTTGTATTCTTACCTTCTGTTCCGTAGGCTTGTACAGCACTTGTAGCAGTCTTTGTTCTTTCTAATGCATCGATTGTCTCGTAGAGTGAGTGACTCCCGAGTGTGGAATTATATAGTGTGTGTTGTTAGCACTTTGTCTTTGTTTTTGTTTATGCTGTTTTCTTCAAATTAGCTTGAAATAAAGGTGAGGATAGGAAGTCCACAGGGGTGCAGGCATCACATACAGCAGACATGTCAAACATGCAGCCCTTTGCAAGTACACATGCGGCCCGCACGAAGGCTACTATAATTTAATCATTTAATGGCTAAAAGTTGCTGTTTTTATAATTCAAATATTTATTAAATGGCTGCTAATTAGTTGTGGTATGTGGCCTTTCGTGACAACACAAATGGGGCCCATATGGCCCTCGGGGGTGGGGGCACAGTTGTGGTGTGTAGCCCTCGTGACAACACAAATGGGGCCCATATGACCCTCAGGAGGGCCCACAGTTGTGGTGTGTGGCCCCTCGTGACAACACAAATGTGACCCATATGGCCCTCGGGGGACCCTCGGTTGTGGTGTGTGGCCCCTTGTGACAACACAAACGTGACCCATATGGTCCGCGGGAGGGCTCACAGTTGTGTTGTGTGGCCCTTGTGACAACACAAATGGGGCCCGTATGACCCTCAGGAGGACCCTCAGTTGTGGTGTGTGGCCCCTCGTGACAACACAAATGTGACCCATATGGCCATTGGGGGACCCTCAGTTGTGGTGTGTGGCCCCTCGTGACAACATAAATGTGACCCATAGGGCCCTCGGGGGTAGGGGGGCACAGTTGTGGTGTGTGGCCCTCGTGACAACACAAATGTGACCCATAGGGCCCTCGGGGGGTAGGGGGGCACAGTTGTGGTGTGTAGCCCTCGTGACAACACAAATGTGACCCATAGGGCCCTCGGGGGTAGGGGGGCACAGTTGTGGTGTGTGGCCCCTTGTGACAACACAAATGTGACCCATAGGGCCCTCGGGGGGTAGGGGGGCACAGTTGTGGTGTGTGGCCCTCGTGACAACACAAATGTGACCCATAGGGCCCTCGGGGGGTAGGGGGGCACAGTTGTGGTGTGTGGCCCTCGTGACAACACAAATGTGACCCATAGGGCCCTCGGGGGTAGGGGGGGCACAGTTGTGGTGTGTAGTCCTCGTGACAACACAAATGTGACCCATAGGGCCCTCGGGGACCCTCAATTTGATATGCTTGACGAAGAGGATATAGTGCTGATTTAGAACTTTAAAGCCATTTCATGTTGAGATACCCCTCATTCTATAACATTTTAAATACTGTACTTTATAGTATCTTTGGCAAATTGAATCTTGGCAAAGTGCCGCCTCCTCTTGGCCCTCTGGTTTGAGTCATTGACCTGCATATTAGGCATGCTGCAATTACAAGCAACATGTTCTTTCCTCTATTGGTCCCCGATCGGATTAAAAAGCTTGGATGTGCGGATGGGTTTTCTATGACGGAACATAAAAAAATGTGTTTTTGCTGAATTCTGAAAAACTGTGGAAATTTTGTAGGCTATATATTTTACTTACAATATATGGATATTTAACGTGCAATTATGTTGTTTTTTTATAAAAATGCATGTTCAGTGTAAACATGGTAGAGGTTAAAATAAGTCTAATCATGCCCAAATTTAACGACCTTGTGTCACTATTTATTTTATTTTATTTATTTTATGTATTTTATACATACAAGAGTTCTTAGTGGCTTGTAAAGCCACTAAGCTAGCACCACTAGCACACAAAGCATTTTGGGCAGGTCCTTAATCTTAATCTTCCCCGGAATATGACACACAAAATAATTTAACAACCAGGTACCCATGTACGTGTGTGTGTGCTCGTTCGTGTGTGTTCATGTTCTATCACTTTCAGCTTAGATTAATATATTACTGTACTATGATTCAAAGGTATTTTTTTTATTAATTTTGCAGTGTATTGGTCATTCGTTAATAAGGTTGTTCCTTGTTGTTCATTGGCAAGTCAAGCTTGGCCTCGGGCCCGGCTTGGGGAGTAGAAGAACTCCCAGAACTCCATCAACCAGGTATCATAATTTATTGGAAAATTCACTTAAT